ATTATTAATCTCGATGATAAAACTGGACCTGGAACACATTGGGTGGCATATAAAAAACGTGGTAATAAAGTCATATATTATGACAGTTTTGGCAATTTGCAGCCACCACATGAGCTTATGAGTATCTTAATGTTGATAAAATACTGTACAATCATGAAAAACATCAAGATTACAGTACAGATAATTGCGGACACTTGCGTTTTAAATTTTAACGTAGAAAAGTATAAAAGTAATATGCACTTTCCAATAAGTATCAGTCATGGATGATTCACTCACGTTATCATTATCTGGACAAACGTCCACTCAAGAAGCGTTTTATTTTCCACCAATTGAATTATCATTATCTAAAAAATATAACCTAGGACTAGTAGAATTGTTAACCCTCAATTCCATTCCAAATATTGATAACGGCAATAATAAATTTTATTATACACTCAATGGTGAAGATAAAAGTATTGAAATACCCACAGGAAGCTATGAAATTGAAGACATTGAAAATTATTTAAAAAAAGCTGATACTCAATTATCGATTTCTATTAAGCCCAATAATAATGAACTACACAGTGAAGTTTACAGTGAAAATGCAACAATAAATTTCAAACCGCATGATTCTATTGGTAGTTTGTTGGGCTTTAGTCCACGACTTATTTCACCAAAATTGACTCACACATCAGATTTACCAGTGTCTATCTTGAAAATTAATGCATTAAGGATCGAATGTAATATTACGACAGGAGCATACATGAATAATCAGTTGGTACATACAATTTATGAATTTTTTCCATCAGTTCCACGAGGATATAAGATCATTGAAGTTCCATAAAACGTCATTTATCTTCCAATCACCGTACAAACAATACATAATTTACAACTGTGCATTGTTGATCAAGACGGTCAATTCGTAAATTTATGTCGTGAAACTGTAACAATACGTTTGCATTTGAAATCAGTCAGGTGATCGGGATTGTTTATAAACCAATAGTAGGGGGAAGCTATAAAACTAACATATCATGCCTAAATCCCATCAGTCATCGAAGAAAACTCAAACGATTACCTTATCAAAATCGATTATTTCTACAAAGTCTGGGACTAAAGATACGCAAAAGTGCAATGAAATTAAAGTGAAAGTGTACTGTCATGCATGTCTTTTACCATGGAAGAAGAAAAATTAGCAATAAGCAAAGGTGTCATATTTGATGAGTCTATTGCACACATTGAAGTGCATGCTCGCATGCTCATCAACCATATGCATCTACAACATATAATAATAATGATGAGATACATATCTCAGTTCAACATTAAGATTTATGTCTGTTGCCAAGCAAAAGTTCCCTTCATATTATGGGGAAATTTACAAAATCTATCGAAAATGCAGTAGCAGTAACATCAAGATTCGTTAATATGGCCGTATGCTATTTATTTGAAGAAATACGATATGAATTGAATGGTGTTGAAATTGATCGAAATAAAAATGTTGGTCTTACAAGTCTCATGAAGGGATATCTATTTCTTCATCCAGGTCAAAAAAATTATTTAGATAATGCAGGTTGGGTAACTGATAATGAAAGATTATTTAATGATAATAGATACTTTGATGTTTCGATACCGTTACATATGCTATTGGAATTTGCTGAAGATTATCATCGCATAATTGTCAATGCCAAACATGAATTAATACTTACTCGTTCAAATACCGATCTCAATGCAATTGTACAAGCTGCAACGGCACCTGAAGAAACGATCACGCTTATAAAAATTGGATGGATAATTCCTTATGTCACTGTTGCAGACATAAAAAAAGTGGAATCATTAAGTTACATTGCAAAAGACCCATCGATTTCAGTGAGTTTCAGATCATGGGAATTATATGAATATCCAATGCTGTCGAACACAACCAAACACGTATGGGTCGTAAACACATCAATTTAACTGTAAAAGCCACGATGCAAGTCATTTCGAACATTGTGATTTAAGGGATGTAAAACTTTTCCTCAATTCACAATGCTATCCATATGGTAACATGAAAATTGACATAAGTCCGATCAATTTGCCTTATCATATGATATGTATGAAGATTTTCAAACAACATATTATAATAAAGGAACAGAACCTCTGCTCACGAAAAGACAATTTATTGAAATAGCACCACTTGTAGTAATCGATTGTTCTAAACAAAATGTATCCTTAAAATCAGGATCAGTTAATGTTCGACTGGAGTTCGAATCATCAAAAGCTTTTCCTGCTAACATATCAGCTTATTGTTTAATCTTACATGATCGAATAATAGACTATAGATATATTAATCAAATGTAGTTTTTTTTTTGTTATAAAAAAATTGTGTATACAACATCGTTTTCATTAATTTCCTAAAAAAATCAGTATTACAAATTAAGAAGAATGATAGCCAATCAAGGATCGGTATTATAGCTGGCGATAACTTACCACCAATCGAGATCGGTATTATAGCTGGCGATAACTTACCACCAATCGAGATCGGTATTATCGCTAAAGATAATTTACCGCTAATCGAGATCGGTATTATCGCTAAAGATAATTTATCACCAATCAGGATCGGTAAAAATCGCTGTCGATAACTTATCGCGATCGCTAAGTCGATAACTCACCACCAAAAGTTACCGCGGTTGGTAATTAGTGCGGATCAGAACCCACTTTTCACCTCAGCTGGTATTACAGGTGGATCTAGAACTCTCCTTGTATATCTACTCACTTTCATCTTCTTTTGTCTACTCTCTACTTTCTTACTTACTCTCTACGCTAGATCTTGCGCGTAGATCCTGTAAATCCATCTCACACAATAGTGGCACAGGATAGTCACAAATTTCTGTACAACCTCCGCCGTCCCTCTATGTTTCCGCACATTATACACAGCATTATTCATTAATTTGAAAAATTTTTTCTTTAAAATCATTTTTTGCCTCTTTTCTTTCATTTGTATGTAAATCTATATATGGTTTCATCCATTGAGATTGCTTAAATTCGAATACTCTATGAATTTCGCTGTAATTAATCTTAACGATGTACATTGCTGTAAATTTCTGTAATGGAGAACATACTTTTTTTATTATATAAAGTTGTCATTAGTTGCTTTGAGTCAGGTGCTTGAAAATGCTCAGTACAAAGCGGTAAATCTTTATGTTGATAATACAACCTTTCGGGATATTCCAGGTCAACTTCAAGAATATAACCATAGGGTGATAGTGGGAAATAGGTAACTAAAAAAATATTTAGATTGTTGATATCTAAATTTTAAAGGAGTCTTTATTTTAATGAGGACTATAGGAAGGTAATCATCCAAGAATTTCCTCATGATGTTCTCTTCACGAGAATCTACAAAAAACTAACTCAAAAATATCCTAAAGTACTTATTCTAACTATATAACTAAAAATATGTGACATCTTATACCATTTGAAAATTTAATTCTACACGTTTCAATTGTAAAGGGGCGGGGTCTTCTAGTGCGGAAGGTCACGTTAGCAATAACTGTTGCAACGTGTAGAATTAAATATTTGAAAAACGTAAAAATACTCTAGATTGAGGAAAAATTGTTGAAAAAAGACGTACAATGTACCAAATCGCCTGAGAGAAGTACGTAGAATTCATTTTTTCCATGAAAAACTATAAAAAATGATTTACCAATTCAAAAAAATTAAAAAAATTTCGAAAAATTTATTATAATTACTAATAAGTAATTACAAAAAATTTTTTTTAAAACATAAAGAAGTGACAGATAGTTTGCAATAATGATTGAGTAACTGTAAAAAATACATTAACCAAAGAAAATTGTTAATAACAAAAAAAAATGTTTAAACAAAAATTAAAAAAAAATATTATAATTTTTTCAGATGCATCATAAAAAGAGCATCGTTTATTATTGAAAAATAAATTGTTCAATAACCATAATTGTTATTGGGAGTATTTTTTTTACAAACGATTGAAAATTAACATACTACAAATCAATTTTTAATGAATCTAACATTTTGTTGATAATTGTTTTTAAAAAACTTTCGAATTGAAATCAAAAAAATTTCAAATAATTAAAAATTACGCATTTGTTTATAAAATTTATCTATAACAAATGCAAAAGAAAAAATTTTTTTTAAATTGTTTCATACTTTTTACGTAAAGATATGAAACTTTTCTGTAGATAATTTGCATATTGAAAAGGAACTTCACCCCTGAAATAAGGGTGAAAGAATCCAAAAACAACATTTGGATTCTTTTCAGTATTAAAAAAAAATTTTTTTTCGAAAACTGAGATGGCCATTTTATAGAGCGGGAAAAATCCTATCTGCTTCTAAATTGGCTATAAAATGTGCCCATAAACAAAAAAAATATAAGGGTGCAAAGTTCATGAAAAAAAAAAAGAAGACGCTTCAGATACTATAAAAAATTGAGAAATTCATCTTTTTCTTTAATTTTGATTGGGAAATATTCAGAAAACGATTCAAAACATTCCAGAATTTTTCCAGATGTTGGAAATATTTTTTTTTTAATGTTAATTAAAAAGACGCTTAACGGCATATTCTGCCAGAGCGCCCAAGATGCTCGATTTTTAGCATGCCTTCATGGCGCTGTACCTTTTCACCTGTCCACGATAGAAGGTGCTCTCGTGGCTTTTTCTGTAGAGAATTCGATTCTTTACAAAAAAGATGTTAACTTTTTTTCCATTTTTTTTTTCGTTCTCGCTACGTAAGCGACGAAAGGTGGAACGCAATTTGCCAAACTTTGACATTCGATAAACAATAGTACTTATTGTTTCCGAGTAATAAAAATTTGCACAAATACTCTCCTCATCATCCCCTACAAGAATATATAACCAGAAATTTTTTATTATCATTCTATAATTAATGAACGATTGCATAGGGCTCAAATTTACGGTTACTAGACTATGGAAATAGTAATCAACTCGAATAATATTATCATTAATAAGTTCAAGACAGTACAATAAAAAGCTATGCATAGCTGAGAGTGCTCTTACACGTCTTTCTAATTTAACTTGCCAAGTAAAAGCATCCTCACGAGCTTTTTCACTCTCTAGTTCTTTGTTAGATCTTGGAAAATTTTCTCCATAACAGATGCAGCCTAGGAAATAGCCCTTCCGACAGCAGCAGTTCCTAAAATCATAATATCTCTAATTAACAGCCATCCAGCATGAGTTCTGTACAAAGAAAGTCGGCTATTTTAACTGGCATTCCTTACCAACTCTTCAGCTGCATTTAAAATAATTTTGCTTTTAGTATACCCAAAAATATCCTCATGAGAACTCGGCATGATTTCAATAAAGAACCAAGAAGGTGTTAGTTTCGCTGCTTGATATGGGTGTACTAAAACTGCAATTGTGGTTTCAATTAGACTCAATGATTAGTATGAAATTAAAATGGATGACTTCAGCATTCTTTGGGTTCGAATTAATAAAATTCATCTATTTTGAAATGACAAGAGCAATTTCTTTGCATATTGCGACTTGATCAGGATTTGCACTGTTTCTTCGTACGATCAGCCCATCATTCGACCCTTTTTTCCACGCATGGCTCCAACACAGCATATTGCGGCTCTAGATTCGATTTAAAATATAAATAAACTATTAAAATAATGCATTATATATTAAAATATTCTTACTGCAGTTGCGATAATGATAGATTGATACAATAATCAATTTTCAATTATAAAGATAATGATAATAAAATCTATGATTTCATACATATGAAATACAATTCTTTCTTTAAACTAGTATAACTAATAAGCTTCAAATTTATTTTTATTTTAATGAACTCGATAATATAATAAAAAATTTTTGTAAAATTATGCTTACAAAATATTTCAATATAAATGTTTTGCAAAATGTTTTCGACATCCTCCGCCTTAAACAAATAATTTGTTTCACTTGCTTGATAGATTTTCAATTTTTTTTATTTTCGTTATAGGGTGTAGCTAGAGCAAGCTTTAGACTAGTGACTCGTCAGAGAGAGAGAGTGCCCACCCTGTTAGATGATACTCAACTTCGTTTAACATCAACCTAAGTCATCGTTACGGTAGAACATCCTTCACTGGCTTAACAGAAATTATTACTGAGTCGATGATTCTTCATAATTTCTTGAATGGTAATGATGATTAAATTCATCATGAAGTTATGCTGTTACAGGACTTGGAGAAGGTTAGCATCTAACAGAGTGTAACCATGCTCTTTGCTCTATATATTGACTTCAAATAAAAAGAAAAATGCTAAATTTGGAATAAAATTTTTAAATTTCAAATGAATGTTTATTACAAAAAACTTACCCCACGTTCGCCTTATTTATTTTAATTATGAATTATGATTAAGTTCCCCTTTACAGGATGATTGAATTCTATTCATTTAGATACAATAAGATGATTATAAAAATTTTGAGGGTCGAATGACCTAAGGGGTAAAAAGACCAATAACACACAATGTTAGTTTACCAATTATAAAGTTATAAAGAATAATGAATTTTTCATTTTTTATAAATAAATAACTCAATCTGAGCTGTTACTTACTTATAATTGTTTTACATACATTTATCTTATTGCTACTGATTGTTGCAAACTGTTTTAAAGAAGAAAGTTTAGACTTAAAACGCATACACCAAGTACTGCAATTTATGATGCTGCTTGATCAATTGTTTCATTTGACGAATATCATTTTGTGTAATACTAGTTTGTAATGTTAGACATAGTATTTTTCGTAAATAAATATATATTTGCCCATAATAGTACAAAGGATGATAACATGGTAATGGTTCTATTAAGTTTCCAATTAATACACCTAAATGAAGGATTGAGCATTGGCTGTGTGAAGTTGGCGGCCAAAGTAGGGAAAAAATTTTTTAAAAAATAGCAAATTATAGCAAAAAATGCGTACATTATTGTACCCTAACTATTTTTTTTTGTACCTTTTTTGTTCGAAAAATATTCCGAAAAAACATGTTTTTTTGAAAAAAAAGCATTTTCTCAAAATTTTTTTGGCATTAAAAGGGTGCAAACGATTGTACCCTTAAAAAACTTGATTGTACCGTTAGAAAAATTCCAGAATAATTGACCAAGCGGTACATGATTAACAGAGAACAAGTTAACTGCATCGAAACTACGTGTCTATTGAAGAATACCGGATACATTGACCCGTTAATGACAGAAAGTAGGAAGAATATAGTTGTACCATATCTACGCACATGGAAGAATACTGTACTGTGTCTAAACAGTTTATTAATCATAGATATTGACTGAATCAGTCTAATCGCAATTAAACCATAATAATCGTGAAATTATTGATAACTCATTTTTGCTGGGGAAGTAGAAGGTTTAAATCTAGTTCTGCATCATCTCCTACGAAACATTAGAATTGTGCTGTTTCTAAATGGTTTATACAAACTATTACTAAACAATACTAAATAGTTTGTATGGACTATTAAAAATGGTATACAAATACCATGTTTCGTAAAATAAGCCTAAAAGAACGTCAATGATAGGGAAAAAAAAATTGAAAGTTTTTTTTCTAAACAGAAGAACAAATTTAAAATGAATTTTGTTTTGTCTACGACCAGCAACAAACATCCTACCATCTTGAGTACACTAGTACGAACGAACATACTCATCGACATAGTTGAAATGCAGTTCAATCAAAACATATGAGGACGTATGATGAATTGGTTATTTAATGAGTGACAGGTTCATGCTTCGCACTTCCTTGTCTACTAACAAAATTTAACATTGTACCTACTCCAAATAGCTGGTACAAACATGAATTCTCATTGAAACAGCTTTATTACGCTTAAATAACGGAAGAAAAAACTAATGTTAGCACCTTTTTTAAATGAATGTGAACGATGGGAATCAGTTTTCTTCTATCTACAAACAGTAACCAATCTTGTACTATTATGAATATACTGGTAGGAACAGTCGTACTCATCAACATAGCCCGAAGGTGTATAATATCGTGGTGTTTCGTCTTCAAACACTATGATTTACAGTGCGGACATTCGTTTCTTGGAGTTCGAATAGATGTGAGAATCGTACTGATGATGATACTTTTAATTTTCAAATTATTAAAGTTTATCCTTTGATACTTCAATCGATCTGAAAATTGGAAAAAAAATTTCTGTTATTCAGTAGCTTTAAGTATTCACTCTTATCGGCAGCTTTACGGCTGCCTTAACTATTTTAGTCATAAAACTCTGACCCAATATTTCTTTTTTTTCATCTGCACATTCGTTATTAATTCAATTGTAAGTAAGAAGTTTATGTTTATTATTGATGAGTTTCCGTTGATTCTTTATATATTTCTCAACTGAATGTCATATTTTCTGTATTCCTACGCTGTTTTAAGAGTGTTGTAGCACTTTCTCGAATTCTACTTATGTCATAGCGATAATGCACATAGAGTCGAATTCAATACTATTTTTAACTTCCTAGTGGGAAGTTTTTGTAATCAGTCCGATTATGATCATCTCTACGTATCTACCAGTTGTCTCAAGATTGTATAATGTCTGTAACTGTTGGTAGAGGATACAAAACTGATTTTGAACGTACACTTTCATTAAAATAATAAGCGATCGAAGACGTTTTTTTTTCGAAAAAAAAAGTGCAAAAAAGCTGTTTTTATGAGAATTTAAGTGTGTACCAACTACTTAAGGACAGTACAATGTTTGATTTTGTTAGTAGAAAGAAAAAATACAAGGCATAAACTCTATAATTATTTGAAAACGATGAATTATTGATAAGTCCAAAATTCTTTTCGATTAAACTGCATTCAGGCTGTGTCGATGATTATGAAAGTTTGTACCAGTTTTCTCAAGATAGTATAATGTTTGTATTGATTAGTAGACGATACAAAACTAATTTTGGATCGTGCACATCCGTTCAAAAAATGTGATGTCGTTGTTTTTTTTTTTTGTCATTAAAGTGCAATAAAGCTGGTTTAATGAGAATTTATGTTTGTACCAACTACATTAAGAAGGTACAATGTCTAATTTTGTTGATAAATATGAGAATACAGGTCATAAACTTTATATGCCTTCAGAAACAATTAATTGTCAATAGCTCTGATATTTTTTTTTAATGAACAGCATTCAGGCTGTTTCGATGAGTACGAGCGTTTGTACCAGTTGCCTCAAGATGGTAAAATGTTTGTAACTGTTAGTAGCCGATAATCACATATTAACATAAACACAGTCTTCTTAATGTTAGTTATTGAAGTATTTGGTTTCATCTATTTACTTAACACGACTAGACTTTTATTTGAATATGATTCAATGTTAGCATAGCTATCACTCTTAGAAATTATCAGATCATCAGCAAACAACCTGCACTCACAACCATCAGATCTTGATTTCTCAATTACATCATTGATATACAAAATGAATAACAAACGTCCTAACATGGACCCTAGAGGTACACCATGTAATACTCTTTGCTTATCTGATAACATATTATTAATTTTAGTCTATTGAGTCCTATTCTCAAGATATGAACTAAATCATTTAAATACATTACCCCTTATACCGTAATTAAACATTTTTTCTAGAAGAATCTTCCTATTAATCGTATTGAATACCTTTTCAAAATCATTAAAAAAAACTCTAACCATACCACCCTTATCAAAAACCCTCCTCCATCTACTTAAGACATCATTAAGTAAGGTTCACACAAATGCTTGCTTCTGAATCCTCACTGTTGACTTTCAAGAATGTTATTTCTATCAAAAAACTCTAATAATTGATTTTCTGCTACTTCTTCTACTACTTCTTCAATTATAAGTAATGTATTGATAAGCCTAAATTCATCAACGTTATCCCTATTAGCGATGTTGGGAATCAGTAACATAATAGAGTTTTTTCATATATAAGGTACTACAGCAAGTTTTAGACTAGTTCACTACTAGTTTAAAACTGATAGGGTTCAACTTCCATAGTTATTTCCAAGCTGCAACACATATAATACTTTTCTAGGGAAAATCCTATTCATCCCGATCAGTAGCTGCTGTGATTACCTTATCGTAATTGTTATAGAAAAACTCTCAATCAGCCTAATTACATTCTGGCGTAATTATTATTATATATGGTTATATTAATAGAAAATTGACTTATTTAAATCAGTAAACTATTAGAAACATATGTTAACATATGTAAGTTTCACAATGAAGACTAATAATAATTATCAATATTTTTTTCAAATTTTATAATTAAATCATTTTAAAAACAAAAATACTTTCAGATATTTTGCCCTCATTAAATATAAATAAACTATTTTCATACAACTTTGATTTTCTGTATTGGCATAAACTTGTATACAAATATATTATATTTGTGAAAGAAATATTTTTTATACATACATTTTTCTCAGTTATGTAATGAAGTGCTTTATTATTTTCCTATTTGAATTGCATGTATGATTGATATTAGTAATTCAGAAAACTATATACATATATACGCTCAAATAATGAAAATAGTGAAACATATCTCAATAAGCCGATAGCCGAGTCGGTTTAGGCGACGGACGTTACTACGAAACTAGAGGTCATAAGTTCGAATCTCCCGTAACATACAATTTTAAATGGTGTACTTTCATATGCGATTTCTATTTCATTTATATATTTAATAACATTTCTCTATTTGAATCTCAAAAAAAAAATCATTAAAATAAATTTTTGTTTTATGAAAAAAAAAAATTGATAGGGGTGTGATAAGGTTGCCTCCAAATCGTACAATAATTGTGATCGTTAGTAGACGAAAAAAAAATTTCGTCTAAATAGTGCACATTCATTCTGAAACTGGGCTATCGACAATTGCATTTTTTTTCATTATAGATGTGTAATTAGGCCGTTTCAATGACAATTAATGTTTGTACTAGCTATTTGGAGTAGGTACAATGTTTAATTTTGTTAGTAGGTGTGTAAGCGAAAGGCGTTATGTATATACTTTTTAGTAAACAATCAATTGTCAACAGTTTTTATCTTTCTCCCGGTTGAACTGCGTTTCAGGCCATTTTGATACGTATTAATGTTTGTGCCAGTTGCCTTTGAATCGTACAACGTTTGTAATCGTTAGTAGACAAAAACAGATTTGTCTGAAT